CTTCTTGTAGACGCTTCACTGTTGCATTTCCAGTCCAGTCTGTTGTCCAGGGGAACGCCAAGGTATTTATACTTCTCCACCACCTCCACTTCTTCTCCCATGATGGAAATAGGGTTGGACCTGTTCCTGATTCTCTTGAAATCTACAATCATCTCCTTTGTTTTGTTCACATTCAAGATGAGATGATTGTTTCCACACCATGCCACAAAATGGTCCACCAGTTCCCTGTACTCAGCTTCCTGTCCATCTCTGATACACCCGACTACTGCAGAGTCATTAGAATATTTCTGCAGATGACAAGAGTCTGTTTTATACTGGAAATCTGAGGTGTACAGAGTGAAAAGGAATGGTGAGAGTAAAGTCCCCCGTGGTGCTCCTGAGCTACTGACCACCTGGTCAGACACACAACCCTTCAGTCTCACAAACTGTGGTCTGTTTGTCAGGTAGTCTTTGATCCAGGCGATTGGTGAGGCCTCCACCTGAGTCTTCTGAAGTTTCTGACAAAGCAAATCAGGCTGGATTGTGTTAAATGCACTGGAGAAATCAAAGAACATGACTCTCACAGAGCTGTCTGCCTTTTCTAGATGACAATGAGTTTGCTGAAGCAGGTGTATGATGGTATCTTCAACTCCAAGTCCACGCTGATAAGCAAACTGCAGTGGGTCCTGATATGTGCTTGTTTGTCTAGTCAGGTGGGTCAGCAGAAGTCTCTCTAGGACCTTCATGATGTGGGATGTCAGGGCAACAGGTCTATAGTCATTGAGGACTGATGGGTGAGTTTTCTTTGGCACTGGAACAAGACAGGATGTTTTCCACAACACTGGAACCTTCTCCTGGGTCAGGCTAAGGTTGAAGAGGTGCTGCAGAACCACACAGAGCTGCTCTGCACAGACCTTCAGGACTCTGGGACTGACACCATCTGGACCTGCAGCCTTATTCTGGTTCAGTCTCTCCAGCTGCTTCCTCACCTGACTTCTGGAGACGCAGAGAGGGGGAGGCAAAGGAGGTATCAGTATCTTCTGATTTGGTTGAAGACCAATATGTAGAAGAAGGGTCCATGACTGAGGTGGTAGATGCAGTATTTGAGGTGTGACAGGACAGCCTTGGGTCAATGGAGGGTGGTATGTATGTTTGGCTGTGGGCAAGAGAGGAGGATGCTGAGCTTGTTCCTGAACTGAACCTATTGAAGAACGTGTTCAGTTCATTGGCTCTGTCCAGGCTTCCATCCTTCTGATCCTCCTTCTGCTTGAAGCCTGTGATCTGTTTCATTCCTGGCCACACCCCTCTGATATTGTTCTGTTGGAGCTTGCTCTCCAGCTTCTTCTTGTACACCTCCTTGCTGTTTCTTATCTTGACTTTTAGTTGCTTCTGTGTGCTCCTCAATAATTCCCTGTCTCCCTCCCTGAAGGCTCTTTGTTTCTCATTTAGCAGTTCCTTCAGGTCAGTGGTAATCCAGGGTTTGTTATTGGGGAAGCATCTCACTGTTCTGGTGGGGATGGTGTTGTTTACACAGAAGTTTATATAGTCGGTCACACACTCAGTCATGGCATTGATGTCCTCTCCATGTGGCTGGCACAGTGCATCCCAGTCTGTAGCCTCAAAACAACCCTGCAGGGCTTCTTCAGCTTCCGTTGACCATTTTCTCACTGTTCTCTTTATTGCAGGTTGCCTCTGAAAAAGGGGTTAATATTTTGAGCAGAGAAACACAAGATTGTGATCTGATTTGCCAAGAGGGGGTCTTGCTTTAGCGATGTATGAATCCTTGACATTTGCATAAAACAAATCCAGCATTTTGTTTTCTCTGGTAGAGCAGCTGACAAATTGTTGGAATGTCGGAAGTGTAGCAGAGAGAGAGGCATGATTAAAATCCCCAGATATTGCAACAAACGCACTAGGGTGTTGTGTCTATAGCTTAGCAACCTTGGAGCTGATGACATCACATGCAGTCTCGGCAACAGCATTGGGTTGAATGTAAACAGTTGCCAAAATAACACTTGTGAACTCTCTTGGCAAATAATATGGATGACAACTTAGGGCTAACAGTTCAACATCTGGACTGCAGGGACAACACTTCACAGTAACATGTCCAGGATTACACCATCTGTTGTTCACAAGCACTGCCAACCCACCTCCTTTCCTTTTGCCACTCCTCTTTAAATCTCTATCTGCTCGTATGGTCAGAAAGCCTGGCAAGGAAACGCTGGAGTCGGGGATATGATCCTGCAACCATGTCTCAGTGAAACACATAACACTGCATTCCCGATACTCTGGATGGGTCCTTGTTAGGCCTTGAAATTCATCCAACTTGTTTCCCAGCGATCTCACATTGCCCATCATGATTGATGGAAGAGATGGTTTAAACTTCATTCTTCTCTCTTTCTCCCTCTTCTTTGCTCCTGCTCTGCATCCACGACGCCTCCTTTTCAACTCATTTGGGATTTGAGGTTGTAGTTGAGATATTATTTGAGCTTTGGAGATGTCAATCAGCTGCTCCCGGTTGTAAAAAACAACCTTGTTGTTATGGTTACGCATCATAACAAATGTCCAAAAGCAAAGATATTTCTGTAAAAATCCTTCCAGCTGCACATCATTCGACACCAGAGGAAATGATCATCCAAAAAAAAAGTGTTTTATATCCAGAAAAAAGAGGAATTAAAGTTTTCAAAAGTAATATCTCAGAATGAAAGTAACAGAGCTACTCCAACATGCAGCCACCCTGAGCGGCGCAATTCTGAAACAGAATAGAGAAACAATACCGTCTTTAAAATGGTTTTATTTATTTATTTATTTTGTTACTAAAAGGTTAATCCAAATAAAATGCTTTGGAACATCTTGGGGTTGCAGGATGCATGCCCCCCCAATTAGACGCAAAGGTTTATCTTTCTATCTTTACAGGGATTTTGCATTGACTACCATTCACCATAGAAGCTGCTGGTCCTCACAGTGTAGTATGTAAATGGGTCTTACAAGGTAACAAATACTCACACACACACACAAACACACACACACACACACACATGCACGCACGCACACAAAGACTCAGTCTCTTTATTTGTCATTCGCACCACATGTGATACATGTGGTGGAACAAAATTGTGTACACAGGATCCCAGTTACATCCAACAATAAAATGTAAAAGAAAAACAGTAATAAGATCAAAGATATGAACTAAGAAAAACATTAACTAAATATACGCTAAGCACTAATAGCATAAAAATAATACGCCGAAAAGCAGCACGAACATGAACATGAGTCTGTGTGAGCAGATGAGCATGCATGAACACATCAACATGAAACAGATCAGCAGCAACACTGAAACAGATCAGCAGCAACATGATGTGATTTTTCACAGTGATTGTTCTGGTTAGATTCATGAGTCTAACAGCCTCAGGGTAGAAGCTGTTCCTCAGTCTAGTGGTTCTACACTTAATGCTCCTTAACCTCCTTCCTGAGGGGAGCAGGGCAAAAAGTGTGTGCGCTGGGTGAGTGGGGTCCTTCATGATGCAGGTGGCCCTCTTCCTGCATCTGGAGGTGTAGATGTCTGTGATGATGGGGAGACTGACTCCAACAGTCTTCTGTGCAGCCTTCACCACTCTCTGCAAAATTTTTCTTTCTACAGCTGTGCAGCCTCCATGCCACACGTTGTTGCTGGAGCACAGGATGCTCTCCACTGCACACCTGCAGAAGGAGGTGAGGATTGATCATCCCAGACCAGCTCGTCTCAGCCGTCTGGGGAAGTAGAGTTTCTGATGAACTTTCTTGATCAGGCTGGTGGTGTTGTTGCCCCAGCTGAGGTTTTCAGATGCACACCCAAGTACTTGTAGCTGGAAACCACTTCCACCGCAGATCCTCCTATGTTCGGGGATTTAGGTGTGTTTGTTCTTTATGAAGTCCACGGCCATCTCCTTCGTCTTCTTCACATTGATGTGAAGGTTATTCTCCTTGCACCAGCTCTCCAGGTGTTCCACCTTCTGTCTGTAGCTGGACTCATCATTGTTTGTGATGCATCCCACCATCGCTGTATCATCTGCAAACTGTACAATATGACAGCCTGGATGGGTAGCTGCACAATCATACATGAGCAGAGTAAACAGGAGGTGGCTCAACACACATCCCTGAGGGGAGCCAGTGCTGAGGGTTATGGTGGAGGAGGAGAAGTTGTGGATCCTCACAGACTGCGGTCAGTTTGTTAAGAAGTCTAGTCCCCAGTTGCAAATGGAGGGGCTTAGTCTTAGTGTGAATAGTTTGTCCATCAGGGTTTGGGGGATCATGGTGTTGAGGGCAGACGTGAAGTCCACAAAGAGCATACGGATGTAAGAGTCCTTCTGCTCCAGGTGGGTGAGAGCAGTGTGGACCACAGAGGAGATGGTGTCCTCAGTTGATCAATTCTCGTGGTATGCATACCGGTGAGGGTCCTTGTTGATGTTGATGGTCGTTTTGATGTGGGTCATGACCAGTTTTTTTTAAGCATTTAGCTACTATCGGGGTGAGGGCTACTTTTTCATGCATTTCTATAGTCTAACCCCGACCTTAAACCCTTCCACCCGTCTTCAACTCACAACAAAAACACATGCAATAATTGTTTCATTATTGTTTCATTAAAATTCATCCAGTGGTTTTGGGAATTTTTTTGCTGACAGACCAAAAGAGTTGTCTTTAAAATGAAATGGTAAAAATTTAAAGAAAAGTCTTAGCACTCAGAATATCATAATCCACCTTCTATGGCAAGTAATAAAATACATTTCCTGTTTTTTTTTTTTTTTTTAATTTTCAGAACATGTTCATGTTTCTCCGTCAACATGGTGAATGTGAAAAACCTGCTAACGCAGCAGAACACGAAGGTGGAGGCTGTTCCTGCAGTCCTTTACTGGTTTTAAGTTCTGCCAGGTGTTTAGCCCTGGGGTCATACCTGAACTTTCTAAACGCTCAGCAATCACACCTCTGAGAAACATGTGACAGTTGAAGTTAAAAAAAATCCAAATGTGTGTCGAGTCCTTACAAAACTAGGTGTGGTGTGCAGGAGTGAAGGAGAGGGGAAAACTGAGGGCTCACCAGCTTGGTTTGGTTCTCTTTGACAGTTTCACAAAGTTTTAAGCTTACAAACCAAAAAAAGACTCACTGGTGGATGATTCGGCTTACCTGTGATTATGGCTTGGACTTTATTCCTAAAAAAGAATCTCTTGCTTTTGATAGTGCTGTTGTCGGTGAGTACAGTAAATGTCTTAATCTTGTGCGTACAGTAAATGTCTTAATCTTGTGCATACAGTAAATGTCTTAATCTTGTGCTTGATGCAAACCTCAGGCTAATCAGTAATAGAACAATTTCACTATATTAGACCATATATGATCAAATCTAAGTTCAAAGTTTTGTTTTTAGTTCATTCCATATGTTTTTTGGGCTCCACATTTCATCTTATTTTCAGTTATTCCAGTCATTCAAGTGTCAAACGTTCTGCTCTTTTAGGACAGTATGACTATAGCTTTTGGTTGTAAACCTTTCATACTTAAAAAAATATATTTACCTTTATCTCTTAGAAGTGCATCTCTTCGAATACGTGAAAATCTTTGTGTACTTTTTCATTTCTAGCTCTTAGTTACTGTTTTGCTGTTTTTACCTTTTAGCTCTTGTTTTGCTAACCTTTAGCTTTTGTTTGGCTCATTTTCACAACATTTTCACAGAAAAGCTCATTTTTCTCATTTAAGTTGATATGACGGCTGAATTATTTTCCACATACACAACTTTTGAGCAACCTGTCACTTGTTCGTTAGTATAATTAACTTGATTAATTTACACATGTGAATTGTGCTAACAAATTGCACAGTCAAGTTTTTTTAAATGAAGGCAAACGAGAAGTTGCTCGACCACTTTCTGGGAATTCGTTTTATGTCATGTCAGCCGCAAAAAAAAAAAAGTCATAAAAGAAACAAAGACTTTTGATCTGAGGCACACCCTGTTCCAAAGCTGTGCTGTACATCCAAAAAGGGAATTTTGAATGTTTGTCAAATAAAAGCAGACTTAAAAATAAAATCATTCAGTCCCCATTATTTATATAGATTTATAATTTAAGTCGTGTCAGTCTTCAATGCAAAAAAACCCAACAGGTTACATTTATGGCCATTTACATACAAGTCAATTCCCTTAAATAAGCTTTATTTGGATTAAAATCCAAATAAAGCTTCAAGCAACAACTGCTTTCCTCAGCAGCTCTGTGACTTTGAGTCCCAAACGATGGCAGAAAGAACTGCCACCCATCAGATATCACACCTGGGTGTTTCTTTCTGTAACCCTTTTATTATGAGAGTGTCACCAACGACATATTTTTAGGTGAAATTTTATTTCTTAGGTGGTAAAGAGTTAAAGATTAATTATGACAGCCATATAATGTAGTTATGAACAGGATATGTATACATGTACCATGAGAAACGTGTGAGACTCGATGATATTTCTGTGAATTACCATGTTTCTTAGCAAATAAATAATGGTGGTAGTATACTGATATTAACGTGCCTTCACATGAAATGTTATTTTCTGCCAAATGACTGTTGAAATGTGTGGAAATTTGCAACAACAACAAAAATAAGAGGCTAAAATTAGTTTAAAATATCCTGATTCATGCTCAATAATGCAGGTAGAAAAATCTAACAAAGCTAAGTCAGGTCCTCTGGATGTTTTTTTTTTGTTGTTGAAATATTCCATCTTTCATCCATAAGACTTCATCAGTCCGAGGAGTCACAGCAAACTCAGTCTCAGACTGATGAAGTCTTTGGATGAAAAACGAAATGTTTCAACAAAAAAGAAACCGTCCAGAGGACCTGACTTAACTTTGTTAGATAATTAAAAAATACCTAAAAAGTAGCAGAAAAAGCTTAATTTAGCAGGAAGAAGTTGAAAAAAAGAAGCTGAAATTAGCCCTAAAAGCTGACAAGAGCTGCACAAGAACAGGAGCTGAAGTGAGCAGTAAAAGGTTTAAACAGCACAAAGGGTTTGAAAGATGTGAAGAGAGCTCCTTCCATTGCACAAAGTCCCACCAGGAATGTCCTGAATGAGCTGAACGTTTTGATGATTGTTGAAATAGAACAAAAATTGCAGAACAAGTTCTGTGCCAAATTACATGCAGAAGACAAAGGTATTTCAATGGTGTGAATGATTTAGAACCACACACACAATAAAGATTATTCAATTATGTAACTATTTTAAAGACACTCCCTGGACATCCTTTTTGACAGTGTAAAACTTTCTGAACAATGTATCTGCATTTAAGCACTGACATTTTGGGAAACACAAAGTGAATCATATGATTGTTCCAAGAACTAACCTGAGCCACAGCTTTCTATGCCGAGCTTCATGTTCTTGAATTGCTCATGATGACTTTTGTTGTTCCAGGTGGCCAAAGCTGAAACAGAGAATAAGGAAATGACGTTGAAAAGGACGAAAAGAGAGTGGATCCTTCCTCCTTCCAAGTTGGAAGAGAACACAAACTACACCCATTTGGAGTTCATCGCTAAGGTTGTTAACATAAACTCTAAATAAAAATTAACTTCTGATGAAATGAGAATAAAAAAGATGCTAAATAAAGAAGTTGATATGTTTTAATACCTGCTTCTAAAGTAAACATTTCTTTATGACATACACTAGGAGTGGGGAGCTGGTTTTTACAAAGGGCCACAGAACCTACTGAACCAGAACCGTTGCAGTGTGCTGGTCCAACAGGCTGAACTCAGTTCTGATAATTATAATATTTTTTCTTGATTAGCTAAAAAGGTGTTTTTTTTCTTTAGCTGCTAAAAGAAGATATTGTAACTAGTAAAACCTAAGACCAAAACTATTACAGACAGCGTGAGAGAGTTGAATGAACTAAAAATAAAAAAGGAACAGGGTACATAAAGTAAGATCAAGGACACACACGACCCAACTAGGACTGTTAACAAATGGTACGTCCATGTCCCAAGTTGTTAAGGACTTCACATGGTGAATGTTTGTAGTTTTCAAGATGAGTGTCTTTTTCTGGACTGGAACTGAACAAGGAACTCAAGTAAACCTTGCTGGTTTTGGTGCAAGATGTTCAACCAGGCTCAATGGTAGAGCCAGGGGGTGGCCAATAACATAGGTAACCTAACGGTAAACTTAGGCTACCCCAATCATTTGAGGAACAGGGCTGATAGTGGAAAAAAAATCCTGAGCCTGAACTTTTTTCTATGCTCAGTAGGTGGACATGAGTGTAAGGATGGTACTTTTCTGTGGCCCGGTTTGTGTCTGTTTCCCTCGTGCTTCCTCATTAGTTTCCATTGTTGCCACCTGTGTCTCGTCCCAGCTGTTTGTCATCATGTCTCATCTTCTCCCAGTATTTAAGCTGCCCTATTCTGTCTTGTCCTTTGTCGGGTCATCTTCGTTGGTACTCTCCCTTGGGTCTCCTGAGTCTTGTCCTGAGTCTTGTCCTGAGTCTTTCCCTGAGTCTTCCTGGTCCCTCGAGTTCCCCGTGTCTCTCTTGTCGCCTGAGTTCCCCGTGCCTAGTTCATGTAAGTTTTGCTGCTCCGTCAGCTTGTTTATTTTGTACTTTACCATTGCCTCCTTCCTTATTCATGTAAGTTTTGCTGCCCCGTCAGCTTGTTTATTTTGTACTTTTATTTACCATTAAAATCCTTTTTTGTATATCTGCCGAGTTGAGTCCCTGTTCTGCACTCTGGGTTCGCTCCTAACCGCAAACTACGACAATGAGGTGGTGGTGGTGGTGGTGGTGGTGGGGGGTGCTATGTATATGACACACTTTTAACACTTAACATATTATATGAAAATAACCATTTTGACCCATGGGCGGTTTATGGTATTGTGGGCTCCTGGGTTCAGATACATTATTATCAAGGGGGGCTCTGAGAGTATATTCCCCCAAGAGAAATTTTTGAAAATGTTTATGGACAAATGGAGAACACTCAGACAGGAAATGAACAAACCCAATGTGAGAGTCGATTCTTAGGGTAGAGCCGCAGGCTTCAGGACCCCCTGAGCTCTTGGACCTCTGGGCCTGGTTGGCCCGTTCAGTAATCCATCCCTGCTTTTAACCGTAGTTAAAAACAGAGATAGTATGGCATGGTTAAAGATATCACAGTCATTTCACTTATGGGGCAGAGATGGGGTAGAGGTAGGGCAGCCGACCTGGGACCAGAAAGTCACGGCTCGACTCCCAGCCATGCCCACATGCCGTGGTGTCTCTGAGCAAGACACCCAATCCCTAATTGCTCCCTGGGTGCTTACATAGCTGCCCACTGCTCCACTTGGGTGCATCTCACGTGTGCTGGGTTAAATGCAGAGAACTAATTTCGCCATTGTATGGGAACATACGACAATCTCAAACTTCCCTTCACTCTTATTGTGCATTCACAACAACATTAATTCACTTTCTATTCACAAGAGTGACAAACATGAGTAAAAGGATGGTAGCACTTTATTTGAAGGGGGAGAACACGTGTGTCACAAACTTGTCATAAACATGAAATGACGTATCATGAACATTAATTACACTCTTTTAATGGTCATGACTGTTATCATAAAGTGTCATTCTGTTTTTGTAATGCCTCCATCCTAAACAGTGTCAGCTTTTACATAAAAAAACAAACAAAAAATTTAATGACAACAGTCACAACTATTGAAAAAGTTTTATTACAAGTGTGTCACCGACAGCACATGTTTACAAGCTTACTAGGTGGAAAATTAGAGGCTTAGCTGTGGGGTTAATGTTCAGGGTTAATGTTCATGATACATGTCATGTCATGTTTATGACAGGTTCATGACACGCTTATGTCACCCCCTTCAAGTAAAATGTAACCAAAATGACTAAAGCAACAAGCGATGAAAATTGGGCAACTAGAGCAATGAAAATCAAAACTTCTTAACTTTGTGCAAAGTTGATGCGTTTCAGCTGTAAATGTAATGGCAATGGACATGTCCTGAGCGAACACCCATTTTTAAGCAGCTATGCTTTATGAGCATAAAAAGTGATTTTACAACTTTAGTTGCTTTTTGAATGAACACGTTTACAGCAAACTTAAAAGGTCAGTAGGTGGCAGTAGTATTCCAATGTAAACTAAGATTAGTAGCTCCAAAAAAGTTGTCAGGTCATCTGGACGGATTTTTTTCTTGGTTGAACCATTTCCTCTTTCATCCAAAAGATTTCATCTGTTTGAGGCCATATGACAAACTCAGTTCTATAAATAACACCTTCTCAAAGTGGATAAACCAGTTTACTAGGGGCATAACTATTAGCCTAACTTAACTTGTTGCCTAACCAGACTAAAGGACATGATAATAATGTGTTATGCATTGTCATCATTCCCATACAATGGCAAAATTGGCTCTCTGCATTTAACCCATCCACCACCAGGTGGTGCACTGGGCAGCTATTGAAGGCACGCAGGGAGCATTTGGGGATAGGGTGTGCTGCTCAGAGACACCAGAGATGTGCAATGGGATCGAACCTGGGACTTTCAGGTCCCAGGTTGGCTGCCCTGCCTCTAATCCATCTCAGCCCCTGACAAGGACACATATTCATTTTGCTTTTAAAAAAATCATATTTGTAAAATATGCACTTAAAAAAAAAATTCAGTTCAGTTTTGGAACAGTTACAACAATGTAGATAATACAATAATTCAGTCCCATTAACCATTCAGTCCCATTACCAATAACAATAACATAAAGTGCTTCAAGAACTGAAAAATAATTAGAAATAAAAATATTAAAATCCAGTTTACAACAGGATTATCAAAAACAATTAAAACACAGTTTTATCACTAAACATACCTGTATAACGTGCATCTTTAATCTAACAGTATACCGGTATTTTAGTTCCAGCGTCAATGATGAGGCATTTGAAGTGTTTACTTGTTGCCAAGGTGCTGTGTTTTCACCCTGCCTGCATAAAATCGGACCAGAACATTTAAAATTCTATCCATACAATTGTCCGTGGCTTTATCAATATTGAGTCAAAACATATGTCACTCTTAAGCTTTTCGGATAGATTAAAAAAAAAACTTCAGTGAGATAGCATATGCGATTACATAGCTAGCATGCCCCTCAAAACAGGCAGGTGCATGAGGGCGATTTTATCCTCTGCCATAGGCGTCACATTAATTATTTGTTAAGGGGACATGTCCCCCTCACATTTTGGACACCCCTCGCCCCCCATTTACCATGAAATATTAGTTCACCCAGCTCTGTTTTTATTGCTACGTGAATGATTCCATTCCACTTGATTAATGGGAGAACACTCAAACCACTAAAAGTTCACTCCAGGTTTTCCTGGTTACCTACAACAACCCACACAATCATACGTTAGACAACTTCTTGTTGTTCTTGTTCAACTGAGGCTGAAAGAAGTTTTAGTGCTTCAAGAAGGCTTAAGACATGGCTTTGCTCCTCCATGAAACAGCAACGTTTGAACTCTGTCTGCTATACATACACCAAGATAGACTTGATCAGGTGGACATGAAGGAGATTTGCCAGTCTGTTTGACTGTAAATGACAAAAGGTGGCATATTTTTGAAAGCTTTGTCTATTCTGATCAGGAAGAACTTGTTTTGTCTTGCCTTTGCCCTAAGATATGAAAAGTTCAGCTGATGTTATAGAGAATATATTGAGGGAGAAATGTGGTGTTAAGGAGAAAGAACCCAACTAACACAAGTTTTCTGGAAAGTAAAACTGGGAAAATCAGTGTATGGGGAAGGAATAGTGGAAAGGAAATCAATGGGCGAAGGGGATGGATGTTATTCCAAGTGAATTGTGAAGGAAAGAGTAACAAAAGTTATGAAGTATATAAACTCTGGTGGCACCAAGGTAGGAAGGAACCTGTAAACCTATTTTGTTTTAATAATTACATGCAGGTTGACAAAACTGTTTTATTTTCTTTTGTGTCATTGTTGCTTGGCACAGTGTTATTTTGTATTGTGAAGGCTGCATGATGCCATGCCATTTTTTGGTATGAGTAGGTCTATCACTGAATCAGAAAAAAGTAAAATGCCCCCCCTCACTGTTGGTAGTTATCAAAATTTCACCTGTTCATTGGGTGAAGTTACTCTTATTTTTAAACATGCACCGTGTCACCATTGCTTAGCATAATGGCGTGTTGTGTTACAAACAAAAGTAAATCAAAAATAAATAAAGTAAAAGTTTAGTGTACACTACACTGCAATGCACACTTCACTTCTCTCAAGCATCATAACTCCCACCCCGGTTAACATAGCGCTAAGCTAGTGCACAACACAGAAGTGTCTCCCCCTCCTCCACCCGCCCCGTTGACAGAAAACCCAGAAGAGATGAGGGTCCTGCCAAGGCAAGTGACCTAAGAGAAACACTGCATTCAGTGTGGTGAGTTGTATAGGTAACCAGGAAAACCTGAAGTGGACTTTTAGTGGTTTGAGAATTCTCCTTTTAATTAAGTGGAATGGATTTGTTCATGTAGCAATAGAAAAAGTGTTGAGTGAACTGATATTTCATAGTAAATAGGGGGATACGTCCCCATCACATATAATTAATGTGATGCCTATGCTTCATCGAGATCTTTAGTGTCTGCCCTGGTTACAAAAACTAAAGGTCTTAGCCCACTACGTATTTCCAGAGCTGAAGGTTTTATGAATGGTTAAACAGTGCAAATGTTTGGAATAATCTATAAGCAGGAAAACAGTGGGAATGCTGAGTCAGCATTCATGTTCTGAACTCATACAGTTAAACACAGAGTAAAAACTTATTTTAAAATTTTCTTTTAGATTCGCTCTGACCGAGATCAAAATCATAAGGTGGAGTATTTCCTCAAGGGAAATGGAGCTGACAAACCACCCTACAACCTCTTTGTTGTTGACGCCAACACCGGCTTCATACGAGTTACTGACATTCTGGACCGGGAAAAGTATCCTTTCTACAATGTAAGTAGTTTTAAAATAAAAATGTGTACTGTATTATCTTTTTCCATTTTTCCTTTTTGGGTCACGGGGGTCACTGGTGCCCATGTCCAGCTATCACTGTGCGAGAGGCGGCGGACACCTTGGACAGGTTACAAGTCCATCACAGGAAAAACATGTACTTTTCAGAATTATCTGTGACTTGCTTTTTTTTAACACTCTGTTCATAGATTTTTTTTGTCCTTTTGAGTGAACTGGTCCATACGCCAAATAAAGTAGTTAAGCGGTTAGGAGATGGGATAAATGACTCTTTGAAGGGAACCGGATCTTGATAATCCATTTGCTTCATAGAGTCATTCAACTCTGATTGATAGTGATGTCATCATGTATGGATGTGCGTCATTACATACGCCATACATAATGATGTATGTCGTCAGGGCCGTATCACGTATTTTGTCAAGTGGGAAACTTCACCACTCACTCCTCCTTTCCTGAACTGCACTCCATTGTTCTGTTTTTCTTAATCTCAGTGAAAAATAGAAGAAAGAGCATTTGTCTGTGGGATTGAGGAGAAAAACATGAAGAAATTACAAGGAGGGAAATTTGTTTAACTAGTAATGGCTCTTTTCTGTCTGCAACTCGGTTCTTATTGTTTGATGGAAAGAGCCGTTCAAACAATCTGAATCGTTTTCAAATGTCACATCTAGGAGCAATAATCTGGTGATGAAGTGAAGATTCAACGCAATCTGCTGGCTTGCTTAGATAGATAACTTTTATTAATTGTTTTTTTGTTTTAGGGCAGCACGGTGGCGCAACTGGTAGAGCTGCTGCCTCTCAGCGAGCAGGTCCTTGGTTCAAACCCTGGTCCAGGGGCCTTCTGGGTGGAGTTTGCATGTTCTCTCCGTGCATGCGTGGGTTTTCTCCGGGTACTCCGGTTTCCTCCCACAGACCAAAAACATGCATGTTAGGCTGATTGGTAACTCTAAATTGTCCCTAGGTGTGAGTGGGAGAGTGAATGGTTGTTTGTCTCGTCTGTCTCTATGTGGCCCTGTGATGGACTTGCGACCTGTCCAGGGTGTATCCCGCCCCTCGCACAGTGATTGCTGGACATGGGCACCAGCGACCCCCATGACCCAAAATGGAATAAGCGGGTAAAGAAAATGGATGGATGGATGGTTTTTTGTTTTATGTATGTGAATATTTTTGTACAGTGCCCCAAGACGACTTCTGTTGTGACTTGGAGCCTCAGAAAAAAATGAATTGAACCTCTCTAGTTAACATTAGACAAATTATTTGACACAATATCCTCTGTAGCAGATTATTTTTAGCAGTAAAACTAAAGGTATAGACCAGAGCAACTAAACTCAAAGGCTCTGAAACACAAACCCCAGAGGGATTCTGAAATGTTGTTTCTTATGAACCAACTATTGTTTAACCCTGTCCTATCTCCTAATCCCTGCAGCTAACGGGCGTAGCGAAATACAAAGATGGGTCCGATGCCGAGGACAATATCCCACTGACTGTCACAGTCATCGACCAAAATGACAACGCTCCTTACTTTGAGCTGCACACAGGGAACGTTTCAGAGTCCAGCAAAAAAGGTAAGCCTAAACTTAAAAAAACAGTCTGGTCATTTTTGAAGTGATGTTCTGTCCAAAAGTTATAAATAGTTAGGGCCTTACCATCTGTGACACCAGTCACAGAGAACTGAGTTTGGAAACAAGGGCAGAAGTCTTCGACCATGCTAGGCCAAAAGTTAGCCTAAGAGGACCCATGTTATTTTGTTTTTATCAGACTTTTCAAACAATCTTTAAGATTTTTTTAAAATCAGGCAGATTGTGAAAAATATATATTTACTAACTACTAAAAGTAATCCAGAATTAGGTCAAGTTTATTGATAGCCAGGATATATCAATGTTTTGAGAGAAAGGGTTATCACAGTGACCAACTCAGAGGAACACTTAATCCCAAAATACTGTGATTGGTTGAGATCTGCTCTGCCTGAAAAATAAAGTTTCCACTCTGGGATTTGTTGCAGTGTATGGTGGTGCATTAGTCATGGCAATGTAGGATCCGGTTGTCTGCTTTTTATTACCTCGTTGAAGACAAAAGAGCTCACAGACTCATAGAAAATACATCTTGCTTCTCCCACATATTGGGCACTGGTTTTATTTGTTCATTTAGTGCCTTGTACTAATTTGATCTTTGCTGTTTTGTGATTCTTTACAGGAACCTTTGTTATGCAGATTGAAGGTAAAGATGACGACCAGGCCGGAACTATTAATGCACAAATCTCGTATAGCATCATCAGTCAGGAGCCAAAGGGCAAAGGTCCCATGTTCACTATCGATTCAAAGACTGGTAAACTTTACGTCAATGACCCCACACTGGACAGAGAGGTACTGCTATTACATCAATAATACACACAGTGTATACTTGCTTAAGCTTTTCTATACACACAGTGTTATTGAGTTATTTACACATTTTAGTCATGGCAATAAGCAACTTAATTATTTTTGTAATGTTTGTGTTTTTATGTTTGGACATAGTAAAAATGTTCTGGTCTTTACCAAGTTTTAAAATGATCCAAATCTATTCTCAAGTGTTTATTTAAACACATGAGATTCTATCACTTGAATTTTTTTTTTTTTTTAACAAAAATAAAGGCAAAATGGGAAAGCTGTGTGTGGAAGAATTTAGTGTGGATGAAGCATACTGAATTCATCCTGATGCATGCTCAATAATCCAGGTAGAAAAATCTAACAAAGTACTGAATACTGAATGCTCTTTTTTCATCACCACAGCTTCAGGGTCAAATGTTGTACGTGGTCTTCAGTTGTTTGAGTCATAACTTCAGATCTGCTGAAGATAATTCGATAAAACATGGCACACATTTTTACCACCACTAGTTAGTGTGTTGCATAATCATTTCATCACTCCAGCTCTAAGGTCAAAGTCACAAATCAAGGTCAAAGTTAAAACTTGATTGTCCAGGCCATTGCAATAGATTGCTGTCGACAGGTGTTTAATGTGCCGTCTGCTGTACTCTTGTTGCTACTGCTTTTCTGCAGTTTATTGCTTTTAGTTGTTGTCTTGCTGGTTTTAGCTGTTATCTACTATTTCTCTAGTTTTGGATTCATTCCTTTTCTTTAGATGCGTTGACATGTGGGGTCATAGGAGCTGGTGCCCGGGGCTGGTTGCACATCCACCACAGGGCCACATATAGACAAACTAAACCAACAAACATTCAGTTTATCCAACATGCCTGTTCTTGGGCAGTTGGAGGAAATGGGAATACATGGAAAAACCTACATGTGCACTGGGAGAACATGCAAAATCCACTCATAAAGGCTGAGAGGGGAACCTGCGATGTTCTCACTCTGAGATATCAGCTCTAACCACTGCTCTGCTGCGCTACCCTGAGCTGAGCTCATTTTGCTAATTTCAATCATTACTTTTGTTTTGATATTTTTAAAGATTTTAAGCTTTTGTTTAAATTTTTTTTAACTTCAGAAATTCACTTGTAGCTTTTTTGTTTACAGTAATTTAGCTCTCAGTATTCACATTATATCTGAACAGAACATGTAACTTGAATGCATGTGACATGTAATCTAGTTTTTATCATGTCCTGATATGTTAAGACCAAGATTTAATAGAGAAAAGACTCTCTTTTGCATTTCTGTGTGCAAAAATGATTTCCTTTCAATTTTTGCTTTCACTCAGTGACATGGGTCATAATTCATATTCATCTTTTGCATCCTGAACACACTTAAAACAACTTGTAACTGCAGTACCTGTAGTATAGCACACATAAATGTGACACTTTCATCACAAGCTTTCAATCGTTTTCTCCACTCTGAAACGTAATATCAAAAATGAGACCCAACAATTTTCAGTCAGGTCATCTGGACATTTTCTTTTTTTTGTGCTGAAACGTTTCACCTTCCATCCAGAAGGCTTCACCAGTCAAGGAAACACACAACACAAAACTGATTCTTCCCCCAACAGCTTACTCCAAAGTGGAACAAACCAGTTATGTTGGTGCTAAGATGGTCTCTTTTCTCAAAAATGAGACATTTTTAGAAGCAGAGTTTTTTTTTTTGGTATTTCTCAATCTGAAAAAAACATCAAAGTTAAATAAAGCTGACACTTGCTGACAGAAGTCACCAGCAGACTCTGTGTTTTTTCTGTTTGTTTGCTCTTTTCGCTGGCAGACCCATGATTTCTACAAACTGGTCATCAGAGGAACTGATATGGGAGGTGCACCAGGGGGGAAAACAGGGACAGGAACTGTGGAGGTCAAAATCCTGGACATCAATGACAACATCCCTACTCTGGAAAAATCTGAGGTAGAAATATCAAGAAAAAAACTGAATGACTTTTGGAACACACTTCAAGATGGTGGCCACTTTCAACAGATGTTAAAAGCCCAAACCCTCTACACATCATCCATTTTACATATGTACTAAACTTTGATGTTGTTGTAGCTGAGAGTCATGAACAACACATACTATGAATGAGACGCTAATTCATATTGCATTAAAATGTGCAGACAATATTTTCAAATAAAATTATCTCTGTCATTTCACATCAAAAGATGATCTTAGTTTAATACTCAGTGGGCGATGAACACTCCTTAAAACAATCCTAGGTCTTTAATTGACTTGTACTGAACAATTGACTGCAAGGGTTTATGGTGTTCTTTATAAAAAAAAGTCTTGATGTGTTTTTCAGTATGCAGGCTCAGTGGATGAAAACGTTGCTGATGTGGTTGTGATGAGAATCAAAGCTCTGGACAACGACCTTCCGAATACGGACAACTGGCTAGCTGTCTTCAAGATCGCCAAAGGAAATGAGGATAATCTCTTTTCTATTGAGACAGATCCAAAAACCAATGAAGGCATTCTGAAGCTGATCAAGGTATTCCTAAAGAATTTTAGTCTTTTTTTATTTAATTATGTGAATGTTGATTCAAAAATGGTGTTTTATTAGATTAGTTTACATTTTTACATATACAGTGCCTTGCGAAAGTATTTGGCCCCCTTGAACTTTTCAACCTTTTGCCACATTTCAGGCTTCAAACATAAAGATATAAAATTTAAATTTTTTGTGAAGAATCAACAACAAGTGGGACACAATCGTGAAGTGGAATGAAATTTATTGGATGTGTCAAACTTTTTTTAACAAATAAAAAACTGAAAAGTGGGGCGTGCAATATTATTCGGCCCCCTTGCGTTAATACTTTGTAGCGCCGCCTTTTGCTGCAGTTCCAGCTGCAGGTCTCTTGGTGTTTGTCTCTATCAGTTTTGCACATGGAGAGACTGAAATTCTGCCCATTCTTCCTGCAAAACAGCTCGAGCTCAGTGAGGTTGGATGGAGAGCGTTTGTGAACAGCAGTCTTCAGCTCTTTCCACAGATTCTCGATTGGATTCAGGTCTGGACTTTGACTTGGCCGTTCCAACACCTGGATACGTTTATTTGTGAACCATTCCATTGTAGATTTGGCTTTATGTTTTGGATCCATTGTCTTGTTGGAAGATAAATCTCCATCCCAGTCTCAGGTCTCTTGCAGACTCAAACAGGTTTTCTTCCAGAATGGTCCTGTATTTGGCCCCATCCATCTTCCCATCAATTCTGACCATCTTCCTTGTCCCTGCTGATGAAAAGCAGGCCCAAAACATGATGCTGCCACCACCATGTTTGACAATGGGGATGGTGTGTTCGGGGTGATGAGCTGTGTTGCTTTTACACCAAACATATCGTTTTGCATTGTGGCCAAACAGTTCGATTTTGGTTTCATGTGACCAGAGCACCTTCTTCCACATGTTTGGTGTGTCTCCCAGGTGCTTGTGACAAACTTTAAACAACACTTTTTATGGATATCTTTGAGAAATGGCTTTCTTCTTGCCACTCTTCCATAAAGGCCAGATTTGTGCAGTGTACGACTGATTGTTGTCCTATGGACAGACTCTCCCACCTCAGCTGTAGATCTCTGCAGTTCATCCAGAGTGATCATGGGCTTCTTGGCTGCATCTCTGATCAGTCTTCTCCTTGTTCGAGATGAAAGTTTAGAGGGACGGCCGGGTCTTGGTAGATTTTCAGTGGTCTGATACTCCTTCCATTTCAATATGATTGCTTGCACAGTGCTCCTTGGGATGTTTAAAGCTTGGGAAATATTTTTGTATCCAAATCCGGCTTTAAACTTCTCCACAACAGTATCTCGGACCTGCCTGGTGTGTTCCTTGGTCTTCATGATGCTCTCTGCTCTTTGAACAGAACACTGAGACTATCACAGAGCAGGTGCATTTATACAGAGACTTGATTACACCCAGGTGGATTCTATTTATCATCATCAGTCATTTGGGACAACATTGGATCATTCATAGATCCTCACTGAACTTCTGGAGTGAGTTTGCTGCACTGAAAGTAAAGGGGCTGAATAATATTGCACGCCCCACTTTTCAGTTTTTTATTTGTTAAAAAGTTTGACACATCCAATAAATTTCATTCCACTTCACGATTGTGTCCCACTTGTTGTTGATTCTTCACAATAAAATTAAATTTTATATCTTTATGTTTGAAGCCTGAAATGTGGCAAAAGGTTGAAAAGTTCAAGGGGGCCGAATACTTTCGCAAGGCACTGTATGTTTTTGTAATCTACTTATGCATTCTTTGCGTGATTTTAGCCATTGGTGCCCTTTAACTCATTCAGGACACTCTGGGCCCTTGAGCATATATGGCAGCTCTCTGGTCCACTCAGAGGGCTGTGGTAGCTCGGTGGTCTGCGGTTGCTTCAGGAAAGGCATCTGGCCTAAAAACTATTGCAAAGTCTTCGTGTGAGTTAGTTCGCTGTGGCGACCCTTGAAGAAGGGAGCAGTGCCCTTTAGCTAATTCAGAAAATGGCTACTATTACTTTTGTTTCGGCTAACCATATGTTGTAAAATATTTTACTTTATTTACAAATATTTTGCCACAGAAATGTACTATCTCTTCAGTCCTTTCACAAACCAGTGTTGTCTCTGAAATCTGCTACAGCGTACTTGAGATATTTTGTCTTTTTTTACTACTTTTAGCTTTTAGCTAGCCTGCTACCTTTAGTTTCAGTTCCTTTAGGGTTTAAAACTTTTGCCTAAAGTTTTGCTTTTGTGGGCTTTGATGGCTCAGTTTCAGCTTTATATATCAGCAGTAGCTCAGCTCTCACTACTCGCACTGTGTTTTCACAGAAAAAAAATTTCTCTGTAGATTTAACTGACTTGGTCTCATTGTTTGTTTCTTTTTGTCGTTTCATCCTGCATCTGGACCATCTAGGCCGTAGATTTTGAAGAAGTACAGAATCTTGAGCTTGGCCTCCTCATTGAGAATGTGGCTCCTTTTGTAGTAGGCAGTGCGATAGAGATGGATGTGGATGTCCAGGTTGGAGAAGGTCTTCCTGTGGCTGCCGGAGCTGGAGCTGGAGCCGGAGCTGGAGCAGGAGCTGGAGCAGGAGCTGGAGTCGGTGTTGGAGTTGGTGTGGATGCAGGAGTAGACCTGGACCTGGGAGTGGATCTGGGTTTGGATCTGGGCCTTGATTTAGGACTAGATGCTGATCTAGACGCTGGGTTGGATGCAGGACTTAAACCCGACTTAGGACTTGGACCTGGAATTGGAGTTAAGCCCGGTGTTGGGCCTGGTGTCGGGCCGGGTGTCGGGCCTGGTGTCGGTGTTGGACTTAAGCCAGGCATCAAACCGGGACCAGGAATCAAGGGGAAGCCCAATGCTCCAGCAAAAAGCTATCCTATTAAAATAGCAGTAAACAATGTTCCAGAGGGTCCAAGATTTTCACCTGACACCAAGAAAGTGCCTGTGTCCGAGGACCCCAACGATGCACCGTTAGATGGAGTACTTACTGTGTTTGCTGCTCTCAATCCAGATACAGGAAAACCAGCTGAAAACGTCAAGTGAGTGAAGTCAACACATCCATCAATTAGTTAGATCCTCTTAAGGAACTGATTTTTAAATTAGTATTCAGCACCATGAAGTGAAAGGTGGTCAATGTGGTTTTATAGTGGTCATCCAAATAAACCTAATATAATATAAAATGTGTATAATTCAATCTGTTTTTAATACTGTATATGATGTTAAAATTTGATGTGGCTGTAGCTGAGAGTCACTCACAAGACATACTCCAAGTGCTCCTTGTTGTACAAGATCTTTGCTAAAAACATTAGCAATAACTTTTGGAGTCATTCTTGTTTGTTAGTGAAGTATCTCATGAACCACTGGACAGATCTTAATGAAGCTTTTAGGAAATTATCATTACGTGTTGGTCTAAATCTTTAGAGTTAATCCAAGATAGCCTCCACAGCCAATTAGATAAGAGAGTGAAAATAAAATAAAATAACAAAATTAGCCCAAACAAGAATGACCAATTTTACAGATACTGAGCAAAAATGTAACAGTAATATCACTTCAGATATTTTGGGCATGACAAATTAGATTGACTTCATACTAATCTGTTGTGGATTTACCTTCAGACATTATTTTTTTACTAGTTCTGTTAGTAGACAAACTGACAAACATGCACACAGGGTAAATAATGTTTGTCCACGTTTGCCTTTTGGCAGTGGGCTTTTAAAAAACAGGTCTTGGCACGTCGTTATTAAATTACTAATGTATATATTTATTTGATTGTTTGGTATTTATTTAATTATTTTCAGCTATGCTAAAGCCTATGATCCAGATAACTGGTTTACTATAGATGAAGAGACGGCTGAGATCAAACTCAACAAGGTACCAGACAGGGAGTCACCCTTCTTGGTCAACGGGACCTATGTGGCCAAAATTCTGGCTATAACTAAAGGTAAGTATATGCTGCACTTGTGCAACACCTACAGTCTAATTTGTACATTGAACGAAAATGCCTTCTGTTACAAAAAACACTTGTGATGCATCCTTTGTACATGAGGCCTCTGGAGTTCAACAGAGGCTAACCTGGCGTGGTATTGTCCTACTCTTTGTATTGTGGTATTTCTTTCTGTGTGGTGTTGAACTCCTCCGACATCCCCTGCAGACATGCCAGCAAAGACAGCCACAGGGACAATAGCCATCCAGGTCGCTGACTCCAACGACCACTGTCCTTCTCTGGTCACTGCACACAGCAGTCTGTGCTCGGATAAAAAAACAGTGTTGGTCACTGCTTTTGATGAGGACGTCTATCCCAATTCATCTCCATTCACTTTCCGAATCGTACCTGAAGGTACAAAAGGAAACTGGGCTGTAGAAGTCATCAATGGTAAGAATTTTTTTTTGACAGAATATCATATATTTTTTTCTTTTGCATTAGTGAATCGAGTTGAATTAATTTTTTTACTTAATTTGTCATGTGTGGCCACGGGACTGGTTAGAGCAGTGGTTCTCAAACTTATATTGTTAGGTCCCCCTCTTTGGAGAAAGAAAAGTGTTCATGCAACATTTTCAATATGTGAGGGATATCCTTGTATCTGTTTTTTTTTAACATCAAGGATGAACTCAGTTTAGCAATTCTCTCTTAAAATCCTCAGTTTTAGTGACACAACTCTCAATTTTCTAAACTTACACTCTGGTAAAGAGAAGAAACAAATATAGTAAAAATATATTTATTTGTTGTTTTGTGCATCCCTTAATTAGGTTTGAGCTGCAACAAGGTGTTGCAATGTTAGTTCTGCCAGTAACATGTTCCAGTCTGGTAAAAAACAACAACAACAACAACAAAAAAACAACATTAAGCAACAACTCCCTTGACGTGCCCCCTAGTTTGAGAACTACTGAGTTAGCCTTTGCTAGAAAGTTGAGCTCTCAAGTTTGATCCTTCACAAGAGTGGAGCTCTTTTATCCTTTCTCATCTGGGCTAAGTGGAGATTTCTATTCAGCGTCGTATTCTGGTTTTGGACAACTCCTCAACTTTTGTCTTTTAATCAAATTGATCTCAGTTTAAGCCTAAATGTCAGTAAGTGACTTAGATATTGTTTAGGCTACTTTTTGGGGGAGGCTGTATGGTGAATGGTTTTAAAATGTTTTAAAATAAAAAATCTGAAAAGCGTGCTTCTGCATTTGTATTTACTCCCCTAAGTGAATACTTTGGAGAACCACCTTTCACTGTAACTCCAGCTAGAATTATTTTAAAGGTTTGACTTGACCAGCTTTCCATATCTAGAGATTGAAGTGTTTGCCCATTCTTCTGTACAAAATAGCTGTAGCTCACACAGATTAGATGGAGAACATCTCTGAAAGTCAGTTTTCAAGTCTTCCCACAGATTCTCAGTTGGATTTAGGGACTTCGGCTGGTCCCCTCTACACATGAATATATTTTGGTCAGACATTCCACTGTAGATCTGTCTGAATGTTTTGGGTTGTTGTCCTGCTGAAAGGTGAACATCTGGCCCAGTCTCAAGTCTTTTGAGGTTTTCTTTCAGAATGGTGCTGTGTTTAGCTCCATTATTCTTCCCATCAGCCTTGAACAGCTTTCCTGTCCCTCCTGAAGAGAATCATCTCCACAGCATGATGTTATCACCACCATGTTTCACAGTGAGGATGGTGTGTTCAGGGTATATTTTAGTTTTTCTGCTACACGTAAATAGTGTTTTGCATTTATGTCAAAAAGTCCAATTTTCTGAACTGATTTGATCAGAACAGCTGGCTTTAAACTGAGAATAAATGACACACACATGTCGACTTGATTACTGATGGTTTCTGAAGGCAGTCGGTTGCTCTTGAGTTCAGTTAGAGGTTTCAGAGTAAAGGGGGCTGAGGACAAATTCACACAACACTTTTTAGTTGTTTTTGTGTGTGTGTGCGTTTCTAACACAACTAAATGTGGAACAGTTCGAGGGGTACAAAGACTGTTTTAGGGCTTGTAAATCTTTCAAAACATTTCAGAACAAACTCCTGGTTTTCTGATGAAGAAAGGTGAATGTTTGTGTCTAAATGTTTCTGTAGCTGATATTTTACATTCAATTATTCAGCAATAGCATTTTAAAGTGCAGTAAAACCAGTACTAACAGTATCTTGAGTTACTTTAAATACAGACCACTTGCATAGAGATCAAGGTTAATCTTAAACTGCTATGCTTAAGCTATATTTACATTTTTGTTTTATTTCATTACCTTCTATGATTCATTGTCATTACTGTGTGTCAGACACTGCCAAGCATATTTTGCTGCAATTTGATTATTTAGCAGATTTAATCCAAATTGAAGTAATGTTTACATTATTACAGCATATCCAGTAGCAAAAATACTAAAAGCAGTAAATAAGTGCATGTTTGACCTCTCCATGTTTTGATGCAGAGACTACAGCAGCACTTCATTCTAGTGATAGCTTGTGGCCGGGAACATATGAGCTGAAGCTAGAAGTGATGGATGCTCAGGGTCTTTCCTGTGAAAGCGACGAGGTGTTTACTCTGGACGTTTGTACTTGCGTTGCAAAGGAGGACTGCGCCAACTCAAAGGCATTAAGACATGGAAGCACCGGATCAAACTTTTCAACACATGCCATTGGCCCACTCATAGCGGCTATGTTCTTACTGATGGGTAAGTTCACGTCAGACAAACCAAGAAGTCTATTGAGCATCTTGTTAACCTGTTCATGTCAGACAACCAAGATAAACATAAGAACTGAGGCGATGGACACTTATAGACACTAAAATTTTAAACCACTAAAATCTGAAAGCTAGAAACTGAGAGAACAGAACTAAACATGTTAATGGCATGATTTGCAGTTAAACTGGACCTAAGAATGACTCTAGAGAAAAATGGTTTGATATGAATATTCAAAACAAAAGGCTGGCGTGGCAGCTAAACAAATAAAGAAGCCAAAACCAGTGGAGGAGAACTGGACAGGATATGGAACAACAATAGCAGCCTGTAATTGTGAAAAGTTTGAGAAATTAAATGGGGCAGATGAGGAGAGTAGAGGGAGCTGGCTTAATGTCAACAGGAAACATGTAAGTAGGTGGGGAAGGACTGAGGTGCAGAAACCGACTGAGGAACGGTACTGAAAAATGACAAGAACATAGGAAGGCTCAAAAAAATCAAGTGAACACAACCCCCCCCCCCCCCCCCCCGAAAATATCCATCCATCCATCCATTTTCTTTACTCGTTTATTCCATTTTGGGTCACTGGGGTTGCCGGTGCCCATGTCCAGCAATCACTGTGCGAGGGGCGGGGTACACCCTGGACGGGTCGCAAGTCCATCACAGGGACACATAGAGACAAACGAGACAAACAACCATTCACTCTCTCACTCACACCTAGGGACAATTTAGAGTTACCAATCAGCCTAACATGCATGTTTTTGGTCTGTGGGAGGAAACCGGAGCACCCGATGAAAACCCACCCATGCACGGAGAGAACATGTAAACTCCACACAGAAAGGCCCCTGGACTGGGGTTTGAACCAGGGACCTGCTCGCTGAGAGGCAGCAGCTCTACCAGTTGCGCCACCGTGCTGCCCCCCCCCCCCCCCCAAAATAAACCGTATAAAAAATAAACATAAAACCTCATACCAACAAAATAAACACTGTAACCCACAGATCATGAAAGTTTGACAGCTTTTTCCTGCACTCAAGACCAATTAGTGATCGGTAGTTTTATTATAATATTTTTATTTATGACGATATTTAGGTTCAAGACTGAAATTTTAAATTATACCAAGTATCAAGAAATACATTTAAAATATGTAAATTTAATGTGTTGCAGCATCACCTTAAATGCCAGAGTGAAAAGACTGTTTATATTTATTTATGGATGTGACACAGTCCTTAGGTTTTTGACCCACTGGCTGGCAGGCGAGGAGAGCAGGAGTTTAGAATAAAAATAATTTATTTTAAACAAACAAAAAAAGGCTGGCGATGCAGCAAAAACTTACAAGAGCGGATAAGAGGCAATTTATGAACAAGATGGAACGGATTATCAGATTCACAGGAACAAGACAGATAGAGGAGGACCGGATTGCCTGTGGTTGACAGAACCATGATAGGACGGTTTAGTGGTGGAGAAGAGAGGTTAAAAAAAGACAGAGGAAGAGTGCAATTAAGTCCTTTTTAGCAGGAAAGAGAGTTACTGAAGTTGGTCATATGCCGCACAAGGTAGTCAAGGCATTTGGAGTGAAATTGTCTCCAGTTACACTAGACATCGTAAGAACATTTTCAGACCAGAACCTCTTCATGAAAGTGCAGGTGCAAAACTATTTTACCTCTTTGTTAACAGCAAATATCTCACTTTTGCCTAAAATATTCATTGATATCCAGAAAATTTGTCAAATTCCTCAATTAAATCCTTATGAAGAATGGATGGGTTATAAACCACATTAAATACTGGAAATCAGTGACTATTGCAGATAAACCATTTGAACTGTAAATTTGGAAAATATTGGTTCCAAGTGCCTGGCCAGTCACCCTGAATGCAATCCAAAGTCAGAATTCAACAAACTGATGGAATGACACAATTCATACATGAATAGATGTTCACTCTTCCCCAAAAGCAAAAAAGCAAAATTCTGGTTCATGGCCTGTAGGAGCATGTCGACATAAAAAGAGCCAACAGTCATCTCTAGTAGGATTGCAGCCAGCTTGTTCCAAAAGGCCCCACAGAATTTGGATGGGACAACACCTGGACCTGGGTCCTTATGGCCTTGTCAAGATTTGACTGCAGTCTCAAGCTCTAATGCCATGAATGGATGGTTCAGTTCCTTGGCCAGATTATGATCAACACAAGGAACAGTAATGCTACCGAGGAAGGACGTCAAGTCTGCAGAAACATGAGAGCAATCAGATGACTACATTCACTTGTAGAGGTCCACAAATGTTTAACAATCTCCTAAAGATCTGATGTTTCTCTTGCATCAGTTTCAACTCAAGGTATCAACTGGGATGCAAATATTCGTCACAGTCCCCTAGTTCATAAAATTTGGATCTTGAATTATTGAGTTCAGTGGTGTGTTGTGACGTCATACAATAATCAGCTATCAGCAGTGAGTCCTTTAACACTAAACATACATTTGAGTTAGGAGACTTATTAAAGATTTTCTAAAATTTATCAGGTACAAAAACACGTTCAAAAGCAGCCAAAATGTAAAATAACACCCTGAAAGTTATTTAGAAAAACAGAAAACCTATTTCTCAAAATCGCAGAGAAAAGTCACCCAACTCATTTGAAGGGGAATCTTTAGAAAGTAGCTGTTGCTCAGAACTTATACACTTTACCTTAAATCCTCTATTATTTGTTAAACACTTTGGCAACAGTTTCTGTTTTAAATGTGCTATATAAATAAATCTGACTTGACTTGTCTATTGCAATGAAAGGTCTTTATATTGACCACAAGATGTTTTCTTGTGTTTTCTTTCTTCTTCAGTGATTCCCTTTTTCTTGGTGTTCTGCCAATGCAAAGCAAAGGATGGCATTTTCCCTGATCTGTTTAAAGACATACCATTTGACACAAAAGAACATCTGATACACTACCAAACTGAAGGTTTGGGTGAGGATAAGGTGAGTTGGAGTTTTTATTGCTCTCTGTGAAAGGTGGGCGATTATGTAATTGCTTGTGTGTGTGTGTGTGTGTGGGGGGGGGGGGGGTAACTTTTTTTTAAATTCAACCTTTATTTAGACAGGTTAATCCCACTGAGCCTCAAGGACTCATTTACAAGAGAGATCTGATTTCAACAAAGAATGACGACAACAATAGAGAACAGTGACAACAATAGACAGTTATAAAAAGGCATACAGATTTATTTATTTATTTTTGTTTACAAATTAAAATAAGATGGCAAAAAAGTAGCAATAACAGCTAGATTATAAGGCAAATGTAGAAAACTAAAAACAGGAACATGTCTGCATTGGGTTTTTGCCAGGAGTCCAACAGAGTCTTAAAACCACTTAGAGAGGTCAATGTCGAGAGCTTTTTAGGTGCTTTACTGCTATAATTACCTACTGTGTCTGGACCAGTAGTACCTATTAGGACCAAACCATGTCCAAATACGATGGAATGTCCTTTTTGGGCTAGAGTTAGGGTTAAGTGTCTATAGGTAAAAAATTAGGTTTAGGGTCAGGGTAAGGCTACAGAAATTAATGGAAGTCAACACAATCTTCTAAAAAGGATAGAAATGCATGTGTTCATTTGTTTGTCTTTCTTTTAGCAAAATTCAAGATGGCTGCCAC